CTGGAGATTTATAGTCAACAGAGCGAGATCAGTGGACGACAAATTACTAAGAGGAGACACCAAGGGTAAGGGTTGACTTAGCAGGATTCTTGCTAAGACTGGGTGATGTAGGCCCGACAAGGACGGGAGCAACTGGGAAAGCCAAAATCAAAACCTAGCTGAGAATAGTGCTCAGAAAGTCTAACTAATGTCTGGTCAGGGAGGGAGTCTTTGTCAATAGTGTAATTTAACCATACATTTTTATTTTTCAAAATAAGAAGTTAAAGGGGCTGTCCTGTTAGCTCACTTGGTACAGTATGATACCTGATAACACCAAGGTCAAGGGCTCGAATCTCTGTACTGCCCAGCTGCCAAAACAAATAAAAAATAAAATTTAGAAAAAGAAGTTAACGAAATCTAAACAACATTTTAAATAAGCGAATTTTACAGTGTATAAGTTATAATTCAATAAAACTGGTAAAAATTAAAGTGATCTCCCTAAGGGTCCCTTCCTCTAAAACTAAGTTTTGAATAAAGCTTCAAGTTGTTCAGTGAGGGGAAGGGAAAAGGTTCAGAGAGTGGAGGGTGCCACCCAGGAAAAAGATGCTAAATCTACACTCAGCTCTGGTGGTTACCGGAGGCCCAGGACAAGTTAACTAGCTGAAAGCCTCTGTTTCCCCAAATGGAGAAATAATACTGTTTCATGTTCATTTGACAGATCTGCCTGCATCACAGGGACATTGAGAGGATCAAATGCAGAACTGAAAGTTGGAAGATGTTGCTGCTCTCATTACTCAAAACCCTCTGATGAAATAAAAATTCTGCAGACCCTGGTGCTTTGAGGGCTGGCATTCAGAGTAATTTCGCCACAGTTGAACCATACCTTTAAATTCATCAGTTACCTAGAGCAGTGGTTCTCAAACTTCAGCATGCATCAGAAAAACCTGGAAGGTTTGTAAAAATACAGGTATCTGGGCCTTATACCTAGAGTTTCTGATTCAGAGTTTCTGAGGCAGGGCTCCAGAATTTGCATTTCTAACAAGTTCCAGGTGAAGTTGATATGGTTGGACCAGGGACCACATTTAGAGTTTTCCAGACAGCCCCATATATGAAGCTACGATTTTTATTTTTTTATTTTTTTTCCATTGAATAAGTCATTTAATCCTGATAATACCTGTAAGGCATAGGTGCTATTGTTAGCCCATTTTTCAGATGAGGAAACTGAGGCACAGAGAGATTAAGTGACCAGTGAGGTGGAATCCAAGGTTTGACCCTTCTCCTGGCTTAGAGTCCAGTTTGCTCTTGGCTTCACTGATCCCTCCTGTTTTATATTTAGTTAGAGACGTCCTGGGAAGTCCCAGTGGCTAGTACTGGGCCAGCGCTAGCGTTTCCTGAGGAGTAGGGGGAGGGGTGATGGTGGGGTGGGTCTACGGTTCCCCTCAGCCTCGGGAGAGGATTTGGAGAATCCACACTACCCAGAAGGGTGAGTCATTTCTGGATATAGATGAGACTTGTTCCTCCTCCTCCTGGATCACAGAGCACAGCTCTGGGGAACAAGCTGTAGATGGAACTTGTACTGATCGTCCCAGCCTTCCCTACGAGGTTGCCAGGTAGGAAAGGGCACGAAGGCTCAGACCAGGGGAGTTCACATCTGCTGGACATTCGCTCTGTGCCAGGGACTGTACTGGGCACTTCACAGACGTCATTGTCTCCTCTGATGCTTCAGACAGCCCAGGGTCAAGCCCAAGTAACCCCCATTTACAGATGCAGCAACCAAGGCTTGCACAGCAAATGGTGGCCTGTCTTGGCCAGGAAGCGCCTGCAATCAGCTGGGCTGGGGAGCTGCAGAGGGGTGGCAGGAACCTCTGGCCTGCGGTGTGACCGAGAGCTGGCTAGTGCCCCTGCCACCTGATACCTGAAGGGTCTTGCCGGTTACTTGTTCCACCTCAACCACCGCTGACATGCACTTGCCACCTCCCTCCTGACACATAAATACGGGCCAGTTTTGGAGGCCGGGAAGTCCAGAGTCCAGGGGACGCATCTGGTGAAGGCCTTCTTCTGGGTGGCAACTCTCTGCAGGGTCCTGTGGTGACGCAGGGCATCACATGGCGAGAACGGCAAGAGTGAGAGTGAGGCTAGGATTCTATCTAGTGCATTTAGGATTGGTTGTCACCAAGTACCCCTTTCTGTTTTCTGAAGGCAGCCAGGGAGCAAGGAGACTCTTGTCAATCTCCAGTCCCCGGGCACGTTATCGAGCTGCTGACAGCAGGGCCTCCCGATTGCCATTCCAAAGCGCCCCTCTCTCCGGCAGAGAAGGGCAAAATCCAGATAACACTATCCTGGAGTCACGCGGCCGCGCGTGGCCCCGGCTCGCCCCCTACACCACCCTCCCGGCTCTGCTGCCGCGGGGCGGATCGCGGGGCGGAGCCGGCGCGGGGGCTGACTGCAGGGCCAGCGACCAGCGAGGGGCGGTGCCAGGCAGCGGGTCCTCAGTTAAGTGACGCGGAGCGGCTGGCCAGGGCGCCGACTGCGGAGCCGGGGGTCTGGGAGCTGGTCATGCAGGGAGCTCTGGTTCGCGTTCTCTCTCTGTTGCTGTCGCCGCTGCTGCTGGCTTCTGCGCGGGGCTTGCGCGTAAGTCCGCGGGACCCCCGCGCGGGAACGCGCTGCCAGGGCACGGGATGGCCGGGAGCCCGGCTGCAACCGCAGCCATCCGGGGTCCTGCAGGGTGGAGAGCCTGAGACCCCGCAGCGCGCCCCAGCAGGCAGGCAGCCAGCCGGCTGAGCGCAGGCAGTGGACCGGCCCTCCCGTGTGGGGCGGACGGGGCGGGGCGGGCGCGCGTCCTTCCTGGCAGCTCGGTCGCCCGTGTGTTCCGCTCCGGCCACCTCTTTCGCTCGGACCCACTTCCCCATATGTGCAACCAGGGGGTGAGATGAGGTGCGCCCAAACCTTTCCAACTTCGGTTTTCCGGGAGGGGGATTCCAAGTTGCGCGGGTTATTGGAGGGCTCCCCGGGCTCTGGCTTGGGGCGCCCTCCCTTGCCCAGTTCGTGTTCTGCGAAGCGCTCCGGAAAAAGAAAAACGGGGTCTGCAGAGGCCCCCGAAATGGAAACAGTGGGTGGTTTTCCTTCGGGGCGATCTCCCTTGTCAAGCATCTCGTCCCCTTCTCTCCACTTCCCACCGCCTGCTTTTTGGTTTGGGTTTTTCATCGCATTGGTGGGACTCTGCGTGGTTTGGCGGTTTAGGTTGAGGTGGGCACAGGCGGGCTGCAGGTGGGCGCCAGCGTTGATGGAGGGAGGTCTAGCGAGGCGAGTAGGTCAGGTGTGGAGACGTGTGCACGTTTGGCAGGAAAGAAAGGACAAGCCCCAGCCCCTCCGTCCGAGCTAAGGCGGCGGTCCGGGGGGCTGTGAAGCGCTACCTGGGGAGGTTGGCATCGTAGCTGGGCAAAGGAGAGGGGTCAGTTGAAACGGGCAGCCGCCCCTCTGCATGTTCAGCGAACCAATTTTGGTTCCTTCAGCGTTTAAGGTGGGCTGAGTCTGGGGCGTGTTTTAAGTACCGGGTGGTAGAATTTGAGTCCATTGACTTGTTAAGTTACACCCTTTGATGAAAGGCTTTCAATTACGCGCCCCGGACACAGAAAAGTCATACATTTATCTAAAACCAAGGTTGAAAATTTTAAGTGTTTGGAAAACAGCTGTTGAAAGTGTTTTCGTTTGGGGAAAAAATAACCTCAAATTGAGTATTTGCTGCTCCCTCTCCACCCTGTCTGTGGTTCCCCTGTCCCCATTTTTGGAGACAGGGTTTTCTTGTCCTGGAGGCCTGCAGGAGCTCTGGAGTCAGAGCTGGCCAACTGTGAGAACCACTGGCGAAGGTGGAATTGGGGAATATAGTTCAGGGGAACAGTGGCAGAGTAAGGGGCTTGGGAGGAAGGCAGATCTTCACCAGTATCTGGGGATTTATGGATGAGGAACAGGTGGACAGGGCGCCCTCAGCCGATGATAGTTCGTCAGTCCTGTGCAGCGTCATTGGGCGGGTGGTGGGTGCCCTGTGGCTGCCATACCTGAGGCCCACACAGGGAGGCTGGCATCACGCCAGGAATTCTTATGTCAGGTGTCTAGGTGTTCCTCCTGGGTTCCAGGGCCTAGAGCTGAAGAAAGATACCAGCAGGCTAGCTTTTCATTATTTCCTTATTTACATTTATTTAGAACAGCGGTTCTCAAACATTAATTGTCCTAGAAATTAAGAGAAAATTTGAAAACATTTATTCTTCTATTTAAGATATAATAAATTCATTACATGTGAATAAACGATTTCTTAATGAAAAATAATATTTCTCCCAAAATTTTAGGGTGAAGAGTTGCATTGTTTTACATTTTTGCAAATCTCTTTTTTGCCTGTCTTAACAGAAGACAGTTGGATTTTCATATCTGCTTCCGCATTCAGTCGGTTGCGATATCACATGTCACGTAGCCTCTGGAAACTCCACTGTACACTCATGAGAGTGAGAATTGGAAAAACAGTAATGGCTTAGTATTATGAAATTAGTTTTGACTAAATGGACCTCCTGAAAGGGTCTCTCTGGACCACACTTTGAGAACCACTGATTTAGAATAATGTTTCTCTTATGATAAAAAAAAGTCTACCTGGCCACAGGTGGAAAGACAGAGAAAAAAAGAAGTTCATGCTCATTACGGAGAAACTTTAAACATACAGAAAACTCTAAGTATGAAAATGAAAATTGCCCATCATGTCACAATCCTGTGTGTGTGTATTTTTACAATAAATTGTAGCAACTGCCTGGTATCTGAGCGGCATGGATTCAAGACAGGTTGGGCAGATGTAAATTGCCTTTGGGTTTTGAATGGGGACAAGGACACTCTGATATCCCACAAAGCTGACATGGGTTCCTGGTTGCAGGCGGAGTTGACTTGGAAACCTCTCCTTGGCTACTGTCCTTTCTAAGGAACTCACCTTGCAGAGCCCACCTGCACAGAACTGGCAGGGGACCCTTGTGGGAGCAGAGAAAATGGCGATCTTCAGGCAGCTGTCCCTGGGTGTGAAGGCTGCCCTGGCTGCTCTCACTGTCTTCCTGTCTATGATCGTGTCCCGCTCCTATCTGGCAGAGAGCCTTGAGTTCAGGGCCTGGCGTTGGCTGTTTCGCCTGCAGCTTGTCCTCTTTGTCAACTCGCTCATGCTCATTGGCTCCCTCTACATCTGGCGTAGCACAGTCAGCAACCTGTGCCACTCCCCAGCTGCAGAGTCCATCTGTTTTCAGCTTTGGAAGATAGCTGTGATGGCCTTTCTGGCCCTGGCCCATTCCAGTTTCTTCACCATGCTCTTTCTAGTGGCAGAGGAGCCCTATCTCTTTTCCTTGGCAGCCTACTCTTGCCTGGGTGCTTACATCATCATGGTTTTTTTCCTCTGCATCCTCAGCGCCATGGAGCAGGCCTACCAGCTCCTTGCATGGCGCAGTGGTAGGGTCGTGGGTAGCCTTGACAAGACGAGAAAGTTGGCACTCAGGCCCGCCCTGGCAGTGATAGTGACTGCCGTGCTCAGCGTGATCGGGTTTCTAAATGCTGCCCAGCCCCCGGCTGTGAAAACTGTGGAGGTCCCCATCCATCAGCTGCCCCCTTCTCTGGACAACCTCAAGATCGTGCTTCTCTCAGACATTCACTTGGGCCCCACAGTGGGCAGGACCAAGATGGAGATGTTTGTGAGGATGGTGAACATGCTGGAACCAGACGTCACGGTGATCGTGGGTGACCTCTCCGATTCAGAAGCCTCAGTCCTGCGGACGGCTGTTGCTCCTTTGGGCGAGCTTCACTCACGCCTTGGTGCCTACTTTGTTACAGGCAATCATGAATACTACACGTCAGATGTCAGCAACTGGTTTGCACTGCTGGAATCCCTGCACGTCCGGCCTCTTCACAATGAGAACGTGAAGATTTCTGCCACGCAGGCCCAACATGGTGATCGTGGTGGTGGTGGTGGTGGTGGTGGTGGTGAAGATGACAACTGGATCTGTTTAGCAGGGGTGGATGATATTGAAGCAGACATCCTGCACTACTCTGGCCATGGCATGGATCTTGTCAAGGCCCTGGCAGGCTGCAGCCCAGACCACACCACCATCTTGCTAGCTCACCAGCCCCTGGCTGCCAAGAAAGCCCTCCAGTCTCGACCAGATATTAACTTGATCCTTTCTGGTCACACGCATGCTGGGCAAATCTTTCCCTTGAACGTGGCAGCCTATCTCCTAAACCCCTTCTTTGCTGGTCTCTACCGAGTGGACCAGGCTACATTTGTGTATGTTAGCCCAGGCACAGCCTACTATGGGATACCCATGAGGTTGGGTAGCAGGGCAGAGATTACGGAGCTCATCCTGCGGCGGGCTCCCTGAACCAGCCCAGCTTTGTGCGCCTCTGCCCTGCCCTTACCCTCCACCCTCTACCCTCCATCCTTCATCAGAATGGTTTGCCTGTTTTATCCTTCAGCCTTTCCTGCCCAGTCCTGCCAATGCCCCCCTTGGTCATAAACCTGACTTGAACAGTGATTTGTGGTGGGGCTGCTTGGCAAGTTCAGGCTGATTTAACTCTTTAGATGGCCAGCTGCTTTTTTATAGGCACTTGTGAAGCCACTAAGGTCACATATATAAGAACACACATCTATTTTCCAGATGGTGTGGAGTGAGGCCCTCTTTCCACAGAGCTCACAGGGATGAACCACAACATGGGATTGTTGAAAAATGACACATCTAGAAAGCATAGTCGGGTGGGAGTGGGAGCATTTTCCGCTTGGTGTTTTTAAACCCTCTTTAGGACTTAGGTAGTTTCAGAATCATTGACCCAGAGCCATTCTGGGGAAAGGGCAGTGTTGCTAAGTAATTTGGGAGAACAGGCAAAATGGGAGGCTCCTCTGGATGCTGAAGAAGAATATTTTCTTTTCCTCCTTGGTTCTTTCAGAGTCACCTTTGTTGAGGACATCAGCAAAGGCCACTGGAATGCGGGGCTCCGACTCAAGGCCTCAAGCAATGCTATTTAACTGCCTGCTCCTGGGCTGGTGGGTGTGGGGGGAGGTGAGAAGAAACAGGAGCACTGCGGTGGGCAACAGTGCAAATGCTGCTGCTTAGGGGGTCCGAGGGCTTGGCCTTGGTTGTCTCATTTTATGCAGCATTTGGGTGAAGTAATTAGAGACAGGCTGTTTTTCCCTCTTAGAGATAAGGAAAGAGAGGTAGGGTATTGGCAGTATGACAAGGTATGTGGGAGATGTGGGGCTAGAAGCCAGGTCGTCTGCCTACCAATAAGTGTCCTTTCCACTGATGGTCAAGTAGCTATGTTTGTAACAGGTAAGTATAGGATCCGAACGCAGTTAACTGTGCAAAGAGAACGAACAAGGCGCCAGAACTTGGTGTTCTTTCAAAGTGATTTGCTTGAGGCTGATTTCAGTTTACGCATGACTGGGGCCTGGAAGGGACTCAATTAGTTTCAGTGTAGGATATCTCTTACATTTGAAGAAGAATCAGGAAACTAGAGCCCCCTAATCCCCACCCCTGGTTTGGGTGTGGTTTTCTGTGAGAAGCTAGGTTCACTTTCTACCCATGGGGAAGTGGAGGCTTGGGTGGGGAGTGGCAGGGCCTCGCAGGCTTCCCTGCCTGAGCCTCAGCTGTGGTATGGCTGTTGAGTGCAGGGACTGTCCTCCCTGCTGGGCAGCTTCCAACCCACCTGTCTGACCCCATAAGAGCTGCCCTTGGCTCCAGCCACAGAATGAAGGGCCAGCCTGCTGGCCTCTTAGACCCACAGAAAAACAGGTAGGGGTCAGCTTGTCTGGAGTTGGCTCAGCCCTTGTGCCAGAGGCAGGAGACCCTTTGACACTGGGATGCAATAACCACTCCTGTTAGAAAGGGCATCTTGAGGAGACTCAGGACCTGGGCACCGCGTTGACTTCTTGCTAGGTAATTTAGACTTGTGACTGAGAGTCTTTCTCTAACAGGGAACAAAGATTCTCGCTCTGACAAGAGGCTCACCTTGCCGTTCACTGATTGGCCAGTGTCAGGCACATGACTTGACCTCACTAAAGCTTGGTTTCCGTCGACTGTAAAATGGGATAATTATCATATCTACCTCAAGATTGTTTTGTTGGGAGGGTATTAAGGCTTGGTGCATGAGCTCTATGTGGCACAGTGCACACAGTAAACGCTCCCTGTTAAGTTAACTTTTCAAGATCACATTGGGGCTTGTGAAGGAACTATGTTGGGCACAGGTGCCCGGAGAATTTAAGGAGCAGCCAATCCTGGGGAATGTGAGTGGGCAGCGTGCAGCCTGCCACGGGGGCCCAGTGATCTGTCAAAGCAGCAGCCACTGGGGATTTACTTCCCTCTGCCTGTGGTAGCGTCTCCTCGAGCACACTCTGCCTGGCTGGAGAGAGTTTCTTCATTTTCCTTCTTGTCCACCTGGTATATAATGGGGTTCTGGAGGATCCTGGAGACCACCTCTTCTTGTTCTCAGGCAGCCAAAGTATTAACGGCAGGCCATCCAAGTCAAGTTTTAAAAGTGCCATTAAGATTTTGGTGGTTTCCTCATATTTTTTCCCTTCCATTCAATCATCCTTACAGGCAGGAATAAGCTTGGAGAGAAATAGTAGAACTTCAAAGCAGGGGAAGGGACCCTGGAGAGCCTTTCTTTTAACACATTTTGCAGACGTGGAATTCTAGGAGGGGAGTGGCTTGCCCAGGGCAGTCCAGCTCCAGGTTCCCTGAGCCCCTCCTCCAGGCAGCACGCCGGGCTCCCCTCCCCTCCCAGCCACAGGGAGGCTGCTCTTCCAAACTCTCACTGTTTTGTGATCGACCCCTGGATCATTTTTACCACCTTTTTAGTTCTCTTTTGTTTTGGATTTCACCAGACCAGGCTAGGTTGTGCCATTTTACTCCCACTCTGGTAATGCTGGTGGCATTTGACTCAGCTCTTGTCATACCAGGTTTCTTCTCATTAATCCCCTGGGGATGATGGAGATGGTTTTCATCAAGTCCTGTTTGTTTGTTTTTTAATCTTGCATCTTTGTCTTTCTCTGGACTGCCATCATTTTGTGGCCTTGTGTACCCTTCACCCACTCTGAAGTCCTTGCTTGACAGATTGCTGTTTATTAACAGAGAGGAGACAGGCCCAGCCTATGTATCCAAGGAACAGCATCCACACCCTCTCATACCTGGTCTGTATTCCCTGATGTGGCAGACGTTTTCCCAGTAGAAATTTCTCTATTACTGTCCAGATACATACAGCCCTGGTGGGCAGCTCTTCATGGCACCCTTGGTCCCTCTGTTCGATGTTCTTAACCCATTTATCTATTTGTTTTGTTTATGTTTGTGGGTAGGGGAGGTGGTGAGAGATATTTATTTGAAGCTTGGTCATTCTTTCAATTTTATTTCTTTTTTTTTATCTCTTAGATGAAATTTGAAATGTAATGCTTCTTAAAAATTAACAATAGCATGTGTACTATGATGCTATTGTTATAAAAATCTCAATAAATTAATTCTGTTGCCATCCGTTCCAAACATCTATTCATCCTTTTTTTGTAAAATTTTTTTCCCCTAATTTTGTTTAGTTTGTTTTGAACTTTTTATTATGGAAATTTTAAAACATTCACAAAGTAGAGAGAACAGTGTACTGACATGTACTCATCACCCAGCTTCAACAAGTGAGACTCTTCTGCCGTTCTTTCTCCTCTACCCCTGCCCCACCATCCTTTTTTCTTTTTTGGCTGTAGTATACGAAGACAAATCTTAGAAAACATAATTATACCCCAAAAATACTTTAGTAGGAATCCTTCTAAAATAAACATAGCCATAATGTCATTATCATAACCAATGAAATTAACTGTGATTCTTTAGTATCATCTAATACCTAGTTAGGAGATTTGGGGCTAGAGGCCAGACCTTTGACCTCCCAATAGAAGCATTCTTCCCGCTGTCTGTGTGTGAGGTGCGAGGGGTCTTCAAGAGGTTCACAGGAAGATACGTATTATCTTTTAATTCCATTTTTCCATGAACTTTCTGAAGCACCCTCGTATCTGTCACAGGTGAGTACAGGATTCAAATGCAGTTAACGGTGTAAAGAGTTAGTTTTCAGTTTTTCTTGATTATCTTGATGTCTTTTTTCATTGTGATAAAAAATATATAGCATTAAATTTACCATGTTTGCCATCTTAATGTGTACAGTTCAACACTGTTAAATATCTTCACATTGTTGTGAAACAGATCTCCAGAACTTTTTCATCTTGCAGATCTGTAACTCTGTACCCATTAATCAACTCCCCTTTTCCCCCTCCCCTCAGCTCCTGGTAACTACCATTCTACTGTCTGTTTTTATGAATCTGACTACTTTAGATACTTCATATAAGTGGAATTATATAGTATTTGTCTTTTTGTGACTGGTTAATTTCTCTTAGCATAATGTTAGCATCCATGTTGTAGCATGCAATTGGATTTCCTTTCTTTTTAAGACTGAAATACAATAATATTTTGTTGTATGTATACACCACATTTTGTTTAGCCATTCATCCACTGATGGACATTTGGGTTACTTCCACCTCTTGGCTATTGTGAATAGCACTGCTGTGAACATGGGTGTGTGAATATCTCTTTAGGTCCTGCCTTTAGTTTTTTTGGATCTGTACCCAAAAGTGGGATGGCTGGATCTTATAGTAGTTCTATTTTTAACTGTTTGAGGAGCCCCCTCATATTATTTTCCATGGCAGTTGGACCATTTTACAATCCCACCAATGGTGCACAAGGGTTCTGATTTCTCTACATCCTTGCCAGCACTTATTTTCTGGTTTTTTGGGTTTTGTTTTTTATAGTGGCCATCCTAATGAGTGTGAGGTGATACACCTCATTGTGGTTTTGATTTGCTTTCTCCTGTGATTAGTGATCTTGAGCATTTTGTCATGTACTTGTTTGCCATTTTTATATCATCTTTGGAGAAATGTCTATTCAAGTCCATTTAAAAACCAGTTTATTTGATTCTTTTGTTGTTGAGATATAGGAGTTATTTATATATTCTGGACATTAACCCCTTATCAGATATGTGATTTGCAAAATTTTTTTCAACTCTGTAGGTTGCCTTTTACCTCTGTTGATTGTGTCCTTTGAGGCACAAAGTTTTTTAAGTTTGATGTAGTACCATTTGTCTGCTTTTGCTTTTGTTGTCTGTGCTTTTGGCATCATATTCAAGAAATCATTGCCAAGTCCAATGTCATGCAGCTTTTCTCCCATGTTTTCTTCTAGGAGTTTTATAGTTTTGGGTCTTTTTATAGTTTTGGGTCTTACACTTAGGTCTTTAACCCATTTTGAGTTGATTTTTGTGTATAATCTATACATACTTTTTCTTTTTGGCTGCTGGCTGGTAT